GGAAGCAATTATGCAAATGAAGCATGAGATTTGTAAATCTGCCCTTCATTTGAATTTTCGATCTGCTTCATTTATATTCCTCTTTCGAGAGAGGAATGCAGTCTAGATGAGTCCTAAATATAGTAGGAGCCAGGCTGCCTGAGTGTCCGGCTCCTACTACATTTAAACTGCAAAGCCGGAACTGGGGTAGCGAGTGCCCCCCACCATTGACTAGTCGAGTAGTCAATGGAAAATTACATCAACTACTCAATTAGTTAATTAACCGCTACTTAATATCCCTAGTTTGAACTAGTATATCCAAACCTTTCCACGGGGTGGCTTCAAAGGGCTGATAACTGGAGGAATTATGTTTGCATCCACCTTCTCCTCCAGCAGTTATATAACTCCATAATAACCCATAAACAAATGCATTTTTCATACAATGGACCCCAAAGATATTATATAACAAGGTTTAAATTCACTCACAAATGTTTATCTTAATTCCATAAGGTTTATCCAGGATACTGTCAGTCTGTCAAACCCTACTCTTACAAAAAGGGTCCCATGGACTCTTATGTCCACACAAAACATGCAGGATCTCAGTGTTTTAAGTTTTGGTGACAAGTCTTTCATAGAGTAAAAACTCCATGAACTCTATAGAAGACGACTGAAGGGATGTGTTGACCTTATCAGGATCGGACCCAGTGAGTCTGAGTGTTTCCAACTAGAAATTTAAACTATTAAGCCATTCCCTATAACTTGTAGTCAAAGCATTGTAGCCTTCTTGGTAAGCAGATTTGTACCTTCTGAAAATATGCAGGATGGTCCTGATTTTGACAAGTGCTTTCCAGATGGAAGCCCTACATTTATACTGGCTGTTATAACACTGTTCTGACAGTTTTCAATCTTCAGCATGTGATACTGCATAAGTTAAAACAATAACAAATGTCTCAAGAAAATTATTTACTTCATGAAACACGTTCAAAAAGGAGATGTCTCTCCACATGTATACTTCTGGCAACAGGTTCTAGAACTACAAAGGCAAACCAATGCCAAAAGCTGTAAACAAGAAACCCAACAGAAGAGTGACAGATATATCTAAGTACTTCCTTCAGTGTGGACCTGATCCAGCACTCATTGAAGCCAATGTAAATCTTTCCAGTCATAACCAATTGGATAGCTTTCTTTGATAGGCTAACGAGTCTTGTGGATAAGGGAGAAGCGGTGGACATGGTATACCTAGACTTTAGTAAGGCATTTGATATGGTCTCTCATGATATTCTTATCAATAAACTAGGCAAACACAACTTAGATGGGGCTCCTATAAGGTGGGTGCATAACTGGCTGGATAATAACTAATCTCTGAGAGTGGTTAACGGTTCACAATCCTGCTGGAAAGGCATAACAAGTGGGGTTCCGCAGGGTACTGGTTCTGTTCAATATCTTCATCAATGATTTAGATATTGGCATAGAGAGCACGCTTATTAAATTTGCAGATGAACGAAGCTGGGAGGAGTTGCAACTGCTTTGGAGGACAGGGTCATAATTCAAAATGATCTGGACAAACTAGAGAAATGGTCTGAGGTAAATAGGATTAATTTTAATAAGGACAAATGCAAAGTGCTCCACTTAGGAAGGAACAATCAGTCTCACACGTACAGAATGGGAAACGACTGTCTAGGGAGGAGTACTGCTGAAACGGATATGGGGGTCATAGTGGACCCCAAGCTAAATATGAGTCAACAGTCTGACGCTGTTCAAAAAAACCTAAACATGATTCTGGGATGCATTAACAGGTGTGTTGTGAGCAAGACACAAGAAGTCATTCTTCTGCTTTACAGTGCACTGATTAGGCTTCAGTTGGAGTATTGTGTCCAGTTCTGGGCACCACATTTCAAGAAAGACATAGAGAAATTGAAGAAGGTCCAGAGAAAAGCAACAAAAATGATTAAAATTCTAAAGAAGTGGTGCGCGCCCGGGGGGTGGGGAATATCACAATTTTTTTCCCAGCTCGGCATATACACAGCGAAGGCAGGGGGAGTAGCAGGTGAGCAGAGTGGCATTTAAAGGGTCCACACGTTTTTTGTTCAATCAAAATTTTCCCAGGGGTTGCACCGGGAAAAAGGTTGCGCACCACTGGTCTAGAGGACATGACCTGTGAAGGAAGACTGAAAGAATTGGGCTTGTTTAGTTTGGAAAGGGAAAGATTGAGAGGGGTTTTCAGGTATCTAGAAGACTGTCACAAGGATGAGAAAGATAAATTGTTCTCCTTGGCCTCTGAGGATAGCTCAAGAAGCAATGGGCTTAAACTGCAGCAAGGGAGGTTTAGGTTGGACATTAGGAAAAATGTCCTAACTGTCAGGGTGGTGAAACACTGGAATAAGTTGCCTAGGGAGGTTGTGGAATCTCCATCTCTGGAGAGATTTAAGAGCAGGTTAGATAGATATCTATCAGGGGTGATCTAGTCAGTACTGGGTCCTGCTATGAGGGCAGGGGATTGGACCTGATGACCCTTTGAGGTCTCCTTCCAGTTCTAGTGTTCTGTGATTATAACAGGGGCTGAATCAAGCCCTACATGTGCATTGCCTTGTCCTGGACACAGCCGTGCACATCTATGGGTTTATTACTATATTCTTTTCAAGAGTCTGCATCCTACGGGATGATATACACCCTAATGCAATGGTGCAAGTATCCATTATAAGCTAGTTTATCATTTGCTGGGTATTGTAATGCATAAGTCATATTCTGTTAGCTAAATTTAAAATGCAAAGACCATTGGTCCCCTTGATTGTAGTTATAAAAGACCTGCCTATCATTTCAAAAGAATGTCTATTCACTGAAAAAGGTGCCCTCAATTAAAGTTAATACACTGAGGATGCAAATGACTGATTATTGTAGACGTTTTATTTTTTAATATTGCTCATACACCCATGGTACCTGATTATATGTTTAATTTCAGAGTCTAACAGAAGGAGACATAGTAAAACTGAGGTTTGTGCCTAATAAAGGTTTGTAATAATCATGTAAAGCCTCTTCATGACAATTATTTATTTTACATCTTTGACTGCAATTGTTTGCTTGAAGATGAGCAGTTCTACCATAACCTCATGCTTTATTCCTTTCTTAGAAAGGCAGAAGAGGTTCTATAAATTTACTTTCATGTTTCTTACATAGCTTCTCAATAGTCAGGTCAGGGTATGTGCTAAGTTTGAATAAGAAATCCTAACTAAGAAATGGTGGTGACTTAGAGCGCCCTAGGTCCAAGGTTCCAATTGGTAGCTACAAATTTTGTACCTGTTATTTAAAAGTAAATGACAGTTTACACATCTGAAACCATAACTTTAGCTTCCCCTTGCTGGCTTATGACGTTTCCTATTGTGTGCTGTGATGAAAAAAAGTGTAGTGAATTGCACATACCCATTGGAAGACTACAGACAAATTGTCATGGTTACATTTTCATGGTTAAAATCTAGTGTTGACTGATAGCATTGGTCACAGTCTAACTGCCTAGGCATGTTTTATGCAACCATCCCTCATGCAATTCTTCCAAAGCCCCTTAAGTTGAGGAACCTATGTTTTCAAGGGCTCTGCTAATCAAGGGTTGCCAAATGTGCCAATCTGCAAGTGAGCTGATGGAGGAGATATGTGATACAAACATGTGGCTGAGGAATAAATAACCACCACACTCATCTCACTTGTGACCCAAACTCAAGTTTCCAGGAAACAACCAATTCAATCTCCTCCCTGCTACCTCCAAACCAAGCCTGAGATCTTCAGACCTTTTAAAATCCAGTAATTATAATGAAACTACCTCTCCCCATACATCCAAGGCTGCAACTTGTAGGACAGAAGTTATACCATCATATGCAAATGAATCAATACACACTTGAGAACAGGTGCAATGCTATTTACTGGAAGAGCTTCAGCATCTGAATTTGACCACCACTGTCTGCTCCTACCAGCAATGTTCCCAGTGTTCTTTGGTTACAGCTGTCTGATGGCCTTACATAAACCCTTACTTACATGTCTAGTGTTTTCAACAGAGAGGAAGATCAAAAAAAAGACCACTTCACAAAATACTGACCCCCAGATGCCAACCATTTTATAAGCTTCACACTCATTCATTTTTAATGTGACTGGGCCAAATTCTACACTTAGTTAAGTCACCGTATCTGTTAAATTACACCATCAATGCTGGCACATATGTGGTTCAGGATTGTCCTATAATAATCATTCATTGTCTCTTCCTTTAATCCTCTCTTTCTTTCTCTCGTCCCCTAAAAATGAAGTCTCAACTTGTTTGCAGCTGTTTCCTGTTATAATCACAATTTTACACATAGAGGAGGGGAAAAAAGATTTTAGGCTGAATAAACCAATCATACAATTACATGGCTTCGAGGATTATTTGCCTAAATCATTTTCCTCCCACACATGGTGGAAAAAAACTGTTTTCTCAGCTGCCACAGAGCACAGGTTCAAAGTGTTTGCTGTTGGCATGCAAAGTTCTCAGCACAGGCCTCCTGAAGGAAGGCTTCCTTCTCCAAGAAAGAATTTTATCATTAAAAAATCTTTATCATCATAATCGGGATGAATGGACATAATGCCTCTTTGGCAATAACTTCTAAAGCCAACCGATCTGCAAGACAGACAGATGGTGTTCTGAACAGGCCATTAGTTCATGCCCCAGCACCATGATTTGGATGGCTGTTCAGAGCACTGCTGCCTGCCAACTTGGATGGATTATGTTTCTATGAAAGAATTACTGTGTTGGAATTGAATCAGGTCCAATTAGTGACCAAATCTCAGTAGTATTTCACGTGACACTGACTCGTGCATTAGGTTTGTCTTACTTTCTGAGCGAGGGAATTCTCTGAGCTAGAGATGCTGTGTTTGGGGTTTGAAGACAGACATCATACTGGAGCAAAAGACCAGCCATACCTGACTAGCCAACCAAGCCTTCCGTTGGCTAAAGCAAAGTGAGAGGATGAAAGAGGGCATGATCCACTATCATCTTCACTTACTCGGATGCGCTTTGCTCGCCTCATGTCGTCTGCGGTCATGGTACTCTGCGTAGGCATCGGGCTCTCATCATGATGCTGCTGAAGTTGCAGTGGCTGTTGATCCAGTGCTGACTGGGTCTCTGGTGGCACTGACGTCTGCTCCTGCTGTTCCAACCCATTCAGTGTGGCTTTTCCAGCCTCATCAAACTGCCCCTTGCTGGAAAAATGCAGCAAGTCCTGAAATGGCAAATCACACAGGCAGTGAGAAAGGCTCTAATAATACTCAATTGGCAGGTGACTGGATTTGTTCATGTTTTAAAATGATTGAACTCATGACACTGGGCCACACCAGCCTTTTTCCTCTAAAACTTCCCATTACTGACAGCAGTTCACCTCCACCACTGGTAGCATCATTGGGAGCAGAAGGGCTGGGGGTGCTGCAAGTGGAAGCCCATGTTCTAACCACCATGTACATTAATGTCCTACCACTGCTGTCACCAAGGGAGGTGAACCTGTTAGCGATGGTGGGAAGAAAAATTTTAAGAACAAATCCCTAGTGTAGTTGAAGCCACAGGGGAACACAGAGGGTCTCTCCCTCCTTCGTGCAAATTAACTGTCAAGTTAATTGGAATATTCTGTTTTCACATTCAAAGTTTGCCCTAACCAGCACACTAATGGGAGTGGTGAAGCTGCGAGTAAGACACTGGGACATACAATTATGCCCTGTTTATTTTCCTATCTGACTCCCACTTTCCACCTCTCCAGGCAGCAGTAGAAACAACCAGTGTGTGTAGTTTACATGTGTTTCACAGCAGAGCTGCTTTTCTGTTTATCTGAATTAGTGCAGAAGAGGGGGCCTCCTAGGGAGTCAGAAGCAGAATTCTCCAAACTGCACACTCTCCTCCGACAGATTCCAATAAATATTCTAGGATAGACGATTCCAATAAACTATAGAAAAATAATTGATTGTTACATTAACTGCTTACAAAATAAATACGATAAGATGAAAGACATGAAGTGGAGAGCCAAGGGCATCTAAACTCAAGCAGTGTCCTGGCAAATCACAGCTGGAGGAGGAGGAGGAGAAAAAGAAAGCTGCAAGGAGGAACGATGCATCCAGTTATGAGCCCCGAATGCTCAGTTGAGTACACACTGTTAATCTGAGGATCCAGGATTCAAATCCTGGTTTGGTTGGTAAATTCCCACAAATTGCTGAACTTGATGAGGAATTCCTGATTGAAGTTCTGTGCAGAAGGTCAGATTAGATGAGGATGATAGCCCCTTCTGACTTTCAAATCTATGAAAAGCTGGGCAAGATAATTTGTTTAAGCAATGGATAACTCACAGCACTGAGCAGAAGTCATGTGAGACAGGAGAGCATCAGGTCTCTCTTCCTGTGCTCCACAGTGTAATGGGAACTCTCCAACTCTACCACAGAGATAGTGGCTGCAGAGTTTGAAAGCCTCCTAAATGAGATGCTCTGCTATACCCTTCTCCCTAGCAATGGTGTCCTCAGAGTTGACATGGAGCAGCTAGGATAACTAGCACTATTCCTAATCAGTACTTAGGGTATGTCTAGGCTCCATGGCTCCAACAACGGAGCCATGTAGATGAGATTTCTAAACATAGGGAAATGAAGCGGCGATTTAACCTCGTGGAATGAGGTTTATTGGGGCAGTCGACAAGAGCTTCCCTTGTCGACCGCGGAGCATCCAGACTACCGCGCTGTGCAGCCAAACAGCTGATCGGCACAGCGCGGCAGCCATTTTGATGTAAATGAAGCGGCGATTATTTAAATTGCCGCTTCATTTCCCTTTTTCGAGTACACTAATCTACATGGTACCCTTAGACTCACAGACTTTTAGTCGAAAAGGGACCATTATGATTATCTAAAGCTGCCCTCCTGAAATCGCAGGTGATAGAACTACTGAAGTCCTCAAACCTTGATTTAAAGACTTCAAGTTACACAGCATCCACCATTTACTCTAGTGCAGGAGTGAGCAATAATTTTTGGCCAGGGCGGGGCCTAAAATGGAGGGGGCGGAACCAGGATGCTTCCAGGCTTCCCCACCCACAAACCATGATTAGTCTGGGAGTGGGGGCGCCCCTTTGCCCCCTCCTTCCCACTAAGCACCCATGTCCCTGGCATGGCAGGAAGAGGTTTCACACACTCCCCCACCCCCAGGCCAATTAGGACCAATTAGGGCTTGGGGGCGGGGAAAGTGCACTAAGTTTCCTCCGCCCTGCCAGGAGCACATAGTACTTTGAAGTGCCACATACTTCTGGCAGGGCAGGAGGAGACTTCACACGCTTCCCCACCCCCAAGCTCTGACTGGCCTGGGGGTGGGAGCAGCACGCAAAGTTTCCTTCAAAGTGCCATGTGCTCCTCACAGGGCGGGGGCAGGGCAGACTAAACTTCATGTGCTCCTCTCGCCCCCAGGCCAATCAGGGCTTGAGGGCAGGGGACAGCATGAAGTCTCCTCCCGCCGTGCCAGGAGCATGTACTTCCAAGTGCTATGTGCTCCTGGCAGGGAAGAGGAAACTTGGTGTGCTTCCCCTGCCCCCAGGCCCTAATTGGCCTGGCATTAGGGCCTCTGCAGGCTGGATCAACCCGCTTGGTGGGCTAGATCCAGCCCACAGAGGCCCTTTTGCCCACCCCTGCTCTAGTGCAAAGCAGAAAGTGTCCCATGCCCCGTGCTGCAGAGGAAAGAAAAAACCCTCCAGTCTGACGTAGGTGGAAATTCCTTCCTGACTGCAAATCCTATGATCAGTTAGACCAGGGGTCTCCTTTTTAAGCACAAGCTCACTTTTTGAATTTAAATGCGATCCAGGATCTACCTCAGACCCAAACACCCTTGCCCCACTTCTTTCATGTCTCTTTTCTGAGGCCACCTGCCTCTGTTCACTCCATCCTCCCTCATCCTCTGTCTTTTTCACCAGGTAGGGGCAGAGGGTTGGGGTACAGGATCTGGCCTTGGGCCAAAGGATTTGGAGTGATAGCGGGGCTCTGAGCTAAGCCTGGGGCAGGGAATTGGAGTGCAGGAGGGGGTTCAAAATGCAGGCTCTGGGCAGGAGTTTGGGTCCAGGGGCCTGGGGGGGTACCTGACTGGGGCAGGGATTCGGAGCAGGCTCCAGGTGGGCATTGCTTACCTCAGGTGACTCCTGGGTGGTGGTGCAGTGGGGCTAAAGTAGGCTCGCCCATACTCTGGCCCTGCCCCACTCTCCAAAGCAGCCAGCAAACTCCCTCTATCCCAAGCCCTGTTGTCCCCCCATCCATTCTGTGGAGACACAATATAGAGTGGGAGGGGGGCACCTGACATCAGTGCCCCCTCCTCTCCCTTCTCTGCTTTGCACAGAAAGCAGGAGGCTCTGGGGGGAGAGGCAGCTCCAAGGCAAAGGGCGGGAGATGCGCAGCAGTGGGGATAGGGGCAGCTGCCATGCTGCACTTGACAGCCTCTTGGCCAAATCAGTCAAGATTACCTGTCAGAGGCTCCAAGATCTACCAGTTGTCAGAGGCTCCTGATCTACTGGTTGGTGACCACTGAGTTAGACCCTGTGCATATGGGCAAGACTCACCAGCCAGACACCTGGGAAAGAATTCTCTGTAGTGACTCAGAGCCCTCCTTATCTAGTGTCCCATGTCCAGCTGTTGGAGATACAGCAGAACCCTGTTGATCTGATCTAACTGGGATCAGGGCCAGATTGCATAATCAAAAATTCAGATAAGGGGATAAGGGGAAAGTGTGAAGCTGCAGTGCCATCTAGTGGCCACAGGAAAGAGCTCACTTTTGGACCCGTGTCCACTGCTTGTTCGGTTCATAGGGAAAGCTGGATAATAAAGGTTAGAGTTCTATGGTATGTGCTAATAGTGATTGTGGATAGGCCATATGCCTTTATAGGCAACCTTGCTGTACCATTCCCTCCACACATTTATCACACTCAGTCACTCTACTTCCTCCACTTTGTTACCTAGGCTTCTTGCACTGCTGTACAGACACCCTTATTTTTTCTGCTTGACCTCGCACAGATTTCTTGCCAAATTAGGTATACTCATTTTTCTGCCAGAATCACCTGACTGTTACTGTCAGTGGGAATGCTGTCCATTCTCAAACCCTCTCTTGTTCTTTTCTCCACTGCCGTATCCTCCTTTGCTTGATTTTCTTCCCACACAATATTACAATCTGGCATGGAGCTGTCTCCCTTGAATTCCTTTTTTAAAGCTCTTTTGATCAGTTGAAGTATCCACCCTTGAAGTCTGTTATTATCCGTGAGCAGGTGAAATTCTTCCCATGAGAATGGTTTTCCCATGGACAAACCCTCCTTGTAGCACCATTGCCTGAACCATATGTTAGTCATCTTAATCTTGTCTCACTTCTGCTCTCCTTTTCTAAGGATGGGCAGAATCCCACTAAAGATCACCTGAGCCTCCATTTCTTTATGCATCTTTCCCAGCCTAGCACAGTCTTCCTTAATACATTCCAGTGAGAACCAAGCTCCTCCGTTCATTAGAACCTTCAGGTCCGCATCCCATACTGCAACTCCCTTCTGTTCTTTGGATTAGTTCTGATGATATGCCTCTGTTCTTCTGAGTCAGGGAGTCCCCAATTATGTAGACTTGGCTCTTCCAAAGCATTGCATTAAAATTTGTATGCAGCATATGCAATCTTCCCTCTGAGTCAGTACTGAACCAATGCTTTGGCATGACACCAAAGGGCTCCAGATGTCGCTTTTCAACTGAGACATAAAACTGAATCACTAATCACTTCTGACACCTTTCATAAAAGTAAGGGCATTAACTCTAGTTCTGGTTTGCACTAGAAAGATTTTATTGGCACAGATATACTAGTAACACTCCCCCACCTCCAAAACGAGGTGCACCTCATTCTGGCAAAAAAGAGGGTTTTTTGCAGGGATAGCTTATATAAGTTCCCCAAATGAATAAACGGTATCAGAAAAAGGACTTCTATACTGGTATAAATACATCCAAGGCATTTTGCTGTATAAAAATACTGTAAAGAATCATGCCCATAACCAACATTATTATATAGCAAGTTTCTAGTGTAGACCTGACTCTAGTATCCCAGCCAAATTCCACTGCAGTTTCAACTGGAATGGACTGCCCCAAACAGCTGTTTATGCTGCCATGGAACTGTTAAATGGGTCCTATCCCATAACTGTTGCTCAATAAGCAGTGAATTGCTTTGAGATAACAAGTACTGTAGCAGTGCAAGTTAGCAATAAATTACTGTGCTTTCCCCAGGCTCAGGTGCGACTGCCAGAAAATAAAAACTAGCAGCCTCATTCTGTCCTCAAATAACACAGGTTTAAATCACGAGATTACATCATAGATGAGCTTTTTTCCCACCACTCCCCCAAGTATACCTGTGTTCCTTCTTCACATTTTTCCCCGTTTTCATTGGTTACTTCCAAGCGCATGAATTTTGGGGGACGCCCTGGCCGTCTGCCTGGCCCAAACCTCCTCTTTCCTCTCCCGCGACCTCTGCCTCTTGCTCTGCAGAACAGACAGTGCTCCGAGTTAGAGAAAGAGGACATGGATTTGGAATCTACTCTTTTCCTGAACCTTTTCTAAGCAATCCCCACTAAACTAACCAGTCAGTTGAGTAATAATGGCCTCAAGTAAATGAGAAAATGTGAAGAAATCTTGGGAGCAAAAACTGGGTCTCTGGTTGCTGCATACTTCTATCCCACCCCAATGGGAATAAAATGCCATGCCAAACAAATATATGTGAGGTTAAGCAGTGAAGCTACTGGTTCCTATCAAATCTTCTACAGTGACAGCCAGTAGCTGCCCTTCAGGCATCCTAGAAAACATTAAAACCTGAAAGCATAACATCTGTCCCAAGAAAGATGTTTCTCTACTGATGTCAGACAGCAAGCTGAGGGGTTCAATTTCTTATGTGGATGTTTTAGCAGCCATTTAAATGCTAATAAGCAACTGGCTATCAGGTTTGGAA